AAAAAAATCAAGAAAAAAAAAGAACACGAGAAAGTCTGCAAACGAGCAGAGGCAATTACAGACCAGTCTCGCCCCCTTGGTTTTTGAGTAGCTAAGCAATCCCTCCTGAAAGATACCGGCCTATCGGCTTCGACAGCTGGGCTTGGTAGCTTGCTCCAGACTCCCGCTGCCCTTTGTGTACAGATGTGCCACCTGCAGTTTCCCGTCGCGTCCTCTCGGTTTCGCGTCTCACCGCTGGGAAGTTTCTAGGAGTCTGGACGCTCGAATCGGATCACCTCTGGAGGTGGAGATTAAAAAGGGCTCCGTGAAGCAAAATGTGTTAACTACGGGGGATACTCAATTTCATTCCGGATACAGTCTTTGCGGGGCTTTTTATGAGCTATTCCCAGCGGAGAATTACTGTAAAGGCATGTTTTGCAGTCCGTTTGATTTTTACCTCAAGTCCCTTTGCTCAGACTTGTGTAACACCTTTAATTCCTTACTTGTACTTGATGAATTCTCTAAATATAACTATTTATTGACAGCGGGAAACGCGCTGCGCTTAATACAGCCGATTCTCAGTGTTGGTGTTATTGAGGGGCGGTATACAAGTCTCTGGACTGCGTTGTACAGTACATGACTCCTTAGCCGCCCAGTGTGCCCCAGGAGTAAATTTAACCCTTAGCTGGGCGCTAAACGATTGAGGACTTTATTTTGCCATACGTACATGTACGTGGGGATTCGTATCCGCGCTATTCTCTCGGGACGTGTACTGTACAACATACAAAACACTCACACAATGCGCACAGCACATTACAAAACAGTAACTAATAATGGATAACGACAGCTAAAACAGTGAATAATAAATAATGACGGTACCACAAAGCACAGCAACATACAACAGGTAGTACAGAACAATAAAACACAATCAATACAAGAACACGTTCACAATAAATACGCGGTAGCCAAGTAAAAAGTGCAGAATGCGGCGGGTGCTTTGAATTCTGTAAGCCCACCGCGATATTCTTGTTTCCCTTTATTTTTAGTCTCCACACCACCTTTTATCGTCTCCTGTCGTTAT